TTTTAATGTAAATACTCGTTTTTATAAATTAGTAATACTGTCAAAAAAAAAAAGCGGTGGAAGAAATCTAATTGAATTTATTCAATCTAAATGAGATAAAAATCCAAAGAATTAAAAATTTTTTTCCACATCAAAAAGATTTAAGAAAAAAAATGTAGGAAAAGGCTATTCGACGGGCGGGTTCCAACGTCGCACACTGAGCGTGAGACACTGTAGCGTAACCGACTCGACAACAGTACATCACTCACGATTTAGGATAAAAAAGAAAAATTTAAGGTAGTTCGAAAATTTAAAGTCATTTAATTTAAATTAGAAAGCAAAATATTCAAAATAAGTTAAAATTTTTATTCAATTTAAATAAGATTCATGAAAAATTTATAAAAAAAAAAAAACGGTAGCATAGTGGGATCGCGGCACAGTATGGACGTGGCATAGTTGGGACAAGTCTAGACGATATCAGACAGTGATTAAAATCACTATCATAAGAATCCCTTCGATGCAAATCTGTAGATTATGTTTAATTTTAAGAATTTAGTGGATAATTACAAAAACAACTTCAACTCCTATTATTTCCTTAATTATATCCTGATAGTGGTTCTTTGATTTTAAAATATTATATATGAATAAATATATATTTATTTTTTATTTTATTTTGAATATATTTCTTTACTGTTAACGTGTATACAAATTTAAAGAGCTTGATGTAATACTTTATAAAACCTTTTTCTTTACTTATGAATAAATACACTACATTTCAATAGAATCAAAAATAGAATTTTCTAAAACAACTTTTGCGCTGTTTTCAAATCTGCAATTAGACTTTTTCTATCACAAATTTTTATGCCGTCAGGAAATTTTATAATTACTATTTACAGTAAATTTATTAGAAAAGTTCGATTTTTTTTTTGTATTTTTATCGTATATATCATTTAAATAGAAATCATAGTAATCATTTCTAAGTAACTTTTGATGTTTAAAAAGATTCTACAATTGAAATATTCAGAACTAAAATTAATTTTTGCATTACTTTGCAAAATATCAATAAATAACCTACTTTTTTAGTCCTTTAAATTTGATTTTTGTGAAAGTTTATAAAAAAAAATAATGTTAAATTTGTTACATGACTGTTAGCTCAACTTCAAGTTAGAAATTGACATCATTAAATAGAAAATTTTATGAGAATTAAAATATGATATTAATAAAATTAATATGAAGCAGGAGATTTTACTATTTATTGTAATTTTATCAGAAAAGCTCAATATTTTTTTGCATTTTTATCGTAATACATCATTTAAATAGAAATCATAGTAAGCATTTCTTAGTAACTTTTGGTGTTTAAAAAGAATCTATAATTGAAATATTCAGAATTTAATTAATTTTAATGATTTACTTGAACTAAAAAAACCATTCAAAATGTTGTTCAAAAAATTTGATTATTATTGTAAAAATCTATTGTTAAATTCAAATGAAACTAAAAATAATTTTTTTTTTTATTTTTACAGCAACATGTTACCATAAAATGTGAAATATTAATTACTGGTAGTAACACACACAAATAGAGTAAAAAATAATAAACTACAAAGTAAAATTATTTAATTTTGTAGTTGATAACTATTAACACATAAAACCTAATTCGACAGTAAATATTTTTAAAATATAGGTGAGAGCTGAAAAAATAAATAGTAACCCCAAAAGAAAACCACATAGTAAAATAATTTTAATATGAATAAGAAATTTCTTCTAACTAGAGGAGACTGTAGTGTTGGAGTCCTTGATATTCAATGAAGTTATTGAATCTAAATAGATAAAACCCAGCACAGGGGGGTCGCGGCACAGTCGTGACGTGGCATAGTTGGATCAAGTATAATGATATCTGACAGTGATTAAAATCACTATCAAAAAAAAACGCTTCGATGCAAATCTTTAGATAGTGTTTAATTTTAAAAAATTGGTGGATTATTCCAAAAGCTTCATAAACTGCTAGTTCCTTATTAATATCCTGATTAAGATAAAGTATGTCGAATGAAAAAGGGATTATTAAAAAATAGTATTTCCCATAAAAAAATTATATTGATCAATACACTTTTCAATAAGTTATAGCATTATAAAGTTAAAAATGTAAAAAATAAAATTGAGAATTTTCACACAATAATAGCATTTGGTAGCCATTTTCACCGTGAAGACAAAATAAAGTCCGAAAATTTTTTTTACCATTATGAAGTATATTACCTTAGCTTTAATTTAAGATATATAAAAGTGTCAGACTTTCCGGAACACTTTCAAAAGTTAAGTTGAAAAAGTTCTACTTTCTATATTCATTTTTATGTTTTGAATCCCCCCTGTATTAAGGGAAATGGTCTGATTTAAAAAAAAAGTATGTCGAATGAAAGATCTATATAAAGACTACTTCTCATAAAAAAATTGTAATGATCCATACATTTTTCAAAAAATTATAGCATAATAAAGTTAAAAATGTAAAATACAAAATCGAAAATTTTCACACAAAAATAGCATTTTCACCCTGAAGATAAAGTAAAGTCCGAAATTTTTTTTTTTCACGATATAGTATATTACATGAGCTTTAATTTAAGATATATATAAAAGTGTCAGACCTTTCGAAACACTTTCAAAAGTTAAGTTGAAAAAGTTAATTTTTTGTGAAAAAGTTGTCATTTTAAATCCCCCCTTGTGGGCTGGTAAAAAGTCAGATTTATAAAAAAAATATACCAAATGATAGGTAATGACATCATGCATCTATAAAAAAAAGAATTATATTGATATGTT